AATCACAACTGTGCATGCATGGTACCTATATGCTCAACTGAGTTAAACCCGTCCCAAGTTAGTCGACTATGTAATTCCCGGGTCTAAACCCGACTTAATGTCCTCAACACCAAACTCCGAGTAACGGAACCTAAGGTTCACCGGCTTAAGCCCAACTAAGTCCAAAAGAAATTTCCGGGCCTATGGCCCACTCCTTATGTCATTTATGAATTCCCGGCCTAAGTCCAATCTAAGCCCAATATTAATTTCCCGGGCCTAAAGCCCACTTCCTTAAGTCCTTAATTAACCAATAAAAGAATTGGGCCCAAAGCCCGTTACTTAAAGTTCAATATCAATCCGAGTCCAAGTCCATCCCGGCCTAAGGTTCTACCCGTGTCGGTAATTACCGGCCTAAGGTTCTACCCGTCTCGGTTTCCACTAAACACAGTTAAATACATAACCCCAAATTCCGAATTACTATTACATGCCATAATTGAATACAATTTGTACATCAAGTATACCGTTAAAATGCCGAAAATCGAGACCCGAGCCTTCGCCGGAATTTTCCCGAGCCTTCGCCGGATTCCGGTGACCTTGCCGGAAAAATCCACAAGAAGCCCAAAAACTACCCCCAACGAATCTGCCACAATCCCCAAACATCCATCACACACAATTACGCAGCAACCAAAAATTCGCAAATCCAATATTCAACGAATTGAAGAAGGAAGAAAACAAAGGACCCTTACCCGGGGAAATTCGCTGCCAACCCGAGTACTGCCCGGAACAAAGCACACACAACACTCACAACCACCTGCCGAATCCGGCCACCAGCACCGGCAAGCAGAGCCCCAACACGCAGCAACCACGACCACCCCCGTCGACAACAACCAGAAACTCCACGACACCAATCCCACGAGCGCACACAACCACCAACAAGCAACAACCTACAAACCCCGTCAAACCAAACCGGAGCAACAACCACAACCCCATTAAAACCCAAACAACACGAACAGAACACGCCGGCCGAGAAGACCAACGAAGGAAGAAAGAAAAAAGAAACCACGAAGGAGAAGAAAAACAAACTAAAACTGAAAGGAACGAGGAGACCGGAGCTCACCTCGTCGGCGACGCAACCGATGGCGAGAGGAAGCCTCCTCACGTTTCGTCTCTGGTCAGCCTCGGCCCCTTGCGACTCAGTCGACGGCGGCGGCGCACGAAGAAGGGAGATGCGGGCGAGAGGGAGAACGAAAGAGAAAGATGAGGAGAAGAGGAAAAAGAAGCGAGTGGGAGGACGAATGGAAAAGAAGAGGGGGAGAAAAGGAAGAAGGAGAAGAAGATAGGAGGGGCGGCGCCGGTTGAAGGAGAAGAGAAAAGAGAAAAGTGAAGAGAAGAAAAAGAAAAGTAGAAAAGAAGGAGAAGAGGAGAGGGGGGTCCGGGTAGGGTTTTTGACCCACCAAGCAAAACGACGTCGTGTCGTTTAGCTTGGCGCGGTCAACCCGCCCCGTTGACCCGCAGCTTCCTTTTTCCCTTTTTTTTTTTTTTTTTGAACAGTTCCAAAACGACGTAGTTTCGGGGGAACTACTTCAAAACTTAATTCTCAACCCCGAAACCCGATTAAACTCCAACGAAAGCCGAACCCGTCATACCATCAATTAAATTCCATATAACCAAGGTAGAAATAGTTTATTTCCTTGTCCAAAAATCCGGAAATTCCTCAAGGGTAAAATTGGAATAAAAATTCCGAAAATTCCGAGAAAAATCAAATTACGAAAATTCGGGGCGTTACAGTGTCTGTACTCGCGTAAATATACGATCTTCTAGATCATATTAAAACATGCGTTCTTCAGGAACAAATTCGAATTTATGCTCTTCTGGAGCGTGTTAATCATTTTTTTCATTTCGAGATATCATAATATGTTATATTGACATCCACACATATAATTCTCCCCCTGTGGACGTCAATTTTGCATTGTCTTCGAGACTAATTCTTCAGGCATTATTCTAAGAAACAATTATAAAGTACTGAAAATAAATAAAAAAAATTGCAATGCGTAATAATTTAAACTGAACATAAAAATAAATTGAATATAAAATGAATTGCTCCTTCAGGGTAAGTAAGTATAATATCCACCTTCTGGTGGTCATATAATTTCCATCTTCTGGTGGTAATAGTGTTTATTTTCGATTTTCCTTTGAAGGATCTTCAGGATCTTTTGAACGGTAAGACTTACAGTCTTCGTTGTATTTTCTTTTCCCGAGTCTTCTGGACTCTTACATTTAGTCTTTCAGACTATTCTCATTTAAATGCATTTTCGCATTTAATGCCCATTATAAATTTCGTCCGGAAATTTTAAGGGCCTCAAATTCAAATAACATAATTGAATATATAAATGCTTAATTAAAATAAATAAGCAAGGGGCCTTATATTAATTACCCCAAGTAAAGTAAATGGCAGGAAATTAAAATAATGGGCCTAGTACGAGCCCATAAGTAAAATTAAAGACGAGAAAAATTAAATACAATGGGCCCTATTATAGCCCAATTAAAAAATAAATGGCTGAAAATTTAAATGCAATGGGCCTTTTATTAATTAGCCTAATAAAAATTAAATCAGCAGATTAGGCGGCTTAGCCGGCCATATTGGCCTAATATGAGCCCAAGCTTACAATAAAATAAATAAATAAAATAAATACAATAGCCTTCCGGGCTTGCCGGGAAATACCCAAGGTATCGAATTCTGGCCAAACACTTCTGGGCTTGTCGGGAAAATCTCGAGACGTCAGATTCCGGTCAAACACTTCTGGGTTCGCCGGATTCCGACCGAACACTGTTCACGATCGCCGGATTCCGGCTAAAATCACTGTTCACCGTGCAGGAAAATTAAATATTATGGGCCTTTTAATAGCCCAATCGGAATTTTAAAAAAAATGTAAAATATGCATACTCGATAAATCTTTCAGCAATAATATATAATATATATTATACTTATACCCGGTTATTATTTCGGTATATAGTTTGATAATATTGTTTTCAAAATTATTTCCCCAAATCATATATATTTTTTTTGGAATTATATTTATCATTATTATTTGTTTTATTATTATTACTCCAACTGGACTGGGCCAATCCATAGCACATGTCTGGGCTAAGGTCTGAGCTGAAACCAACAACTCTCAGCCCAACACGTTCACTATTCTAGCCCATCCAATAACCAGTCCAGGCCCGTGCAAAAAGCCCAGGCATATCAGCCCGACGCCCAGGCCTGACACCAGGCGCGATCCGACGTCACAAACAGGTCTGCAACCCGGGTCGGCCACATCCGTTTACCCAGAGGAGCTGCAGCGGCGGCGCGAGCGGGCGAGGCAGCGAGCACGGACGGCGCAAGGCGGAGAAAAACGCGGCAGGAGACGAGACGACGGAACGAGGATGCGCGGCTGCCGTCGGTCGCGGGTGGCTGCGGGTCGCGACAAGGTCCGGGTTTCGCCGTCGGGTTTTCGGCTGTATACGACGCGTCGGCGGCGGAAACCGACGGGAGAAGATGGCATCGAGGTCGCGACGGTGCGGCAAAGGGGCTGGTGGTGGCGGTGACGCGAGAAACAGCCTGGAACTCTCTCTGATGAACAGTAACCGTGGGTGATGGGGACTGTTCATCTTCTTCCCTGTTTTGTTTCGTTTCTGGGTTGATTTTTTTTTATTTCTGCACTGGTTTCTTGCCTTAAAATTGGGTAGAAACTATAGTGCTGATAACGTGTTGTGAATGGAATGTTTAATGGAAAGAAAATTTGGAGAAGAGGGATGGATAGATGGAAGAGAAGAAGAGTTTTTCTGGAGAGGAAGAAAATGGCATTGAGCTCGGTCCAACGTCTTCATCTCACATTTCATATTTATTTGTAGTGATACATATAATATAATTGTGGGGTTAGTGATGATAATGACATCCACTAAAAACCCACACGTTTTATAACACCTTCATAATAGTTTCCAAGCAAAAAAGAAAGGGGGAGGGATTGACAAGGACAAAAAAGCCCATCCATTGATATCGTTATTGCGTGGAGGGAAAGTCAATCCCTAACGGTATCTATCCACCGACCACCGACCTACCCTTTGCCTCATTCCTTTATAAATTTGCAAATGACCCAAAAATAAAAAAGAAAAACAAAGGAAGAGGGACTGACCATCAATTAATTAATTTAAAAGATACATATTTTACTAAACATGACATCCCTATCTAATCGATTTGTATCTTATCTCCCCCCAAATATTTCCTCCTACCCATGGCACATCAAATTTCTTCATTCTTTATTGTTGTTTCTTTAAATTTTCCATTTTTTCTCAACCTTTGAATTCCACCACCATTTCACTTGCCCACACAAACGACGCCCACCCATCACCACCTATCAACAAATAATAAAATACTAGTAGTAACGAAGTAAAGGGAAATACTAATAATACCTCACTCACACACCGCCATTATTATTTGCCAAACAAAAGCAGCCTTGTTGGATGCAATTGCAAAGAGAGAGGAGGAAAAAAAATTAAAGCATCTATACTTCTTCTACTTACCCATTCACCCATTCTCTCTCAATCTCTCTCTCTCCCCAACATAATATTAAGGCAATTAAACTTAACTCACCTGCCTCTCAAAAGAAAAGAACAAATTCACAAAGATTTGTGTCGGTGAATTTGGATTTTCTGCCTTTCTCTCTTCTCTATCATTACACCTTTTTATTTTTTATTTTTTGGTTTTGAAGGAAATGAAAAAAAGAAAGTAAAACACATCACAAAAACAAATCATCACCAACGTGTAAGCTCGCCCATATGACACCCCTTCTCCTCAAAAATATCAATCAAACCACAAACCCTCCTCCTCCTCTCTGCCTCCACTACGCCATGAAACTCACCACCACCTGCTTCCAATCCTAGTTCTTCCCCTTCTCCCAGAGATTAAACAAAGAGGAGAGAATTAATCTTTTTTTTCTTTTCTCGCCGTCAAAAAAGATTGTTCCTTTATTTTTTTTTCCATGGAAAGCGGGGTGGAAAAAGAGATCGTGGCGGCGGCGACAAGGAAGAGAACAACAGCAGCAGGAGGAGGGGGCATGGATAACGACAGGCCCTACAAGGGGATAAGGATGAGGAAGTGGGGCAAGTGGGTGGCTGAGATTAGGGAACCCAACAAAAGGTCGAGGATTTGGCTCGGGTCTTATTCGACTCCGGTGGCGGCGGCAAGGGCCTATGACACGGCGGTCTTTTACTTGCGGGGGCCGTCTGCGAGGCTCAACTTCCCGGAGTTCCTGGCCGGGGAGAGCATAGCTGGCGGGGCATGCAGCGACATGTCGGCGGCTTCTATAAGGAAGAGAGCCACCGAGGTTGGAGCCAGGGTTGATGCTCTTGAGACCGCTTTGATTAACCACCACCACCACCATCATCACCATCAACAACAACAACACAACCTTAACCACCACCACCGCCACCACCAGGAGGAGCAGTATAATCAAAATAGTCACGGGGGTAGTAGTAGTGATAATAGTATTCAAGAAAATAACAACAACTCCAAAGCTATTGATACGACAGAGTTGAAGTCGTTCGTGGAGCGGGTTGACTTGAACAAGGTGCCTGACCCGGAGGAGTCGGATGGGGAGGAGTGGGAGAGGATGAATTAGGTGGTGGTGGTGGTGGTGGTGGTTGGGGGGTTTTGCGGTGGCGGAGATTGCTAACATGCGCCGAGGAGGTATGTTTGTCATATGTGGCTGATGGTGAAAATCTCGAGGCTTTTAATAGGCGGATTATTTACTCGGTAGTTGGTAGTACTACTTTTAGTGGGTTCTTCTTTTTTATGTTTTAAATTCCTTCGTTTTAGGTCTCCTTTTTTCTTCTTCAAAAATTATTTTTATCTTTGAGAAATTAAGGAAATTTTGGCGTTGTAAAATGGGTTAATTGTATATTAGTTGCTTATGCCTCATGAGCCTGGTTTATGTCTCAATATTCATTTGAGAAATTTTAGAATTTATTTTGGATGAAAGTAAGAATGAGATGTGCATAAAAGGTACAACAAAGAGGGGGGAGAGGGTTTAGTGTACTTGTCTAGTTGGTGTTTTTGGGAATAGTGGGAGGCCTAGCTGCCGACCTGGCAATATTGTGCCTTTAAATTGTTTTTCCAAATCTCCTTTCTTTTCTTTTTTTTTTTTGAAGGGGGAGAGAGACTGAGAGAGAGGAGGAGGAGGAGGAGGCTGAGAGTGAGAGGGGAGGGATGGGGATGGGGAAAGGAGGAGTGAGTGAGGTGAGGTGGGGAGCAGCGGTGGCCTACATACATCCCCAGCAGTTGGTGCAAATAGCCATGCTAACCACTAAAGCTTTATAACTACTAAAGTGATAAGATTTGGAGTTAGGTATTTTCTGGTTCTCCACTGTGTTAGCTTGTTTTCGGATGTGGGCACCCAGGGGTCAGGGCAAAAAGAGAGGGAGGGGACTATTCCTTTCTTTTCTCTCTTCTTGCTTGTGCGGGTGATCGCTACTACTATCTCTTAGTGGATGATGATTATGATGATGGGCCCAGTTTTGTTGGGTTTTGGTCCACTCCCCTTCCCCCTGCAAAAAGATTTCAATGCTTTGTCAAAATCGCCGCTCCTCTATTAACGAGAAAATTTATTACTAACATACTTCACCCCCCCCCCCCCCCAAACGCTGGGATTTGTTTGTACGTACTACCCATATTTGGTTACATCTTTGACTTTGTGTTGTTTAACTTATGTCCATGTTCAGTTCCCCAACCACACCAGTCCATGATTATCGGGTTAATGTTGTCTGTGTGTATTTTGATTTTGATCGCTTTCCCTAATTTCAAACCAGCTGTTGTGTTTCGCAGATCCTGAGTTGTCTGGTCACAACATGTAGTAAATCTCAACAAATCTTTTTCCTTCGAGGGTCTGTTAAGCTAAATCTTTTAGCGGCGGCCAAAATGATTTTTGTGGCGATAAGGTTGTACTTGCGCACGTTTAGTTTCTGCGTGTACTGTACTTTTAGTTGAGGGGTGTCTTTTGACCCATTCTGGTTTCAACTTTGAAGTTTCAACTATACGTACGGCATTTAAAGACCCAGCAACCACCATCATCCGTTTATTCAATTGCATGGCACCTCCCAAGAAATCTTTTTGACTTTACAAAAACCAGACTCTGTAAAACTGTTGGTTATCAAATCTTGTCCTAGACAAACTGATATATCACTGGGCCATGCTATCAAATTGCAATGTACGGATATCCAAATGAACACTGACAATACACTATTTATACAGAAATACAGTGCTGTATATGTTACAAGGATATAAAAGCAGCGGGGAGGCAAAATCCCTAGCTTCCTGACCTACATTTTACTAGACTGCGTAACACAGGCATGCTCATCTAACAATTTATTTGGTCCACTTTTGTAGTTCTATCCCTTTCATTTGTAAAGACATGGGAGAAGCCTAAAGGCAAGTGGAAGAGCGGAGGGATCAACTAGAATAGCCGCATTTTCGTACCATAGACGATGACGTTTTGTGGAACTCAACTCCTCCCACTCTCAGCATCTCCTAGTGACAATGATTCCTTGAATAGCTGAGAGACACTAAGATTGCCCTTCAATGAGACGTTTTATTTGAAGGGCAGCTCTTACAACGTTTCCTCTCGTGATAATTCCAACCTTAAACCGTAGAAACAAGAAACCAGTAACATAAGTGTATAACCACAAAGGTAAAAACATATTAACAGGAAAAAAAAAAAATGGACAGTCTCTTACAAGCTTGCCGTCAGAATCTACGACAGGCAGTCGTCGATATTTCGTCTCGAGCAATATCCTGAAATTGAAACCGGAAGCCAATCCACAAATTAATACTTAACAAGCAGTCTTTAAGGAGCAAAGCAGAAAAATGGAGGATCGAAGGGAAAATAAACCAACCTTGCAGCATCCTCAAGGTTAGTGGTCTCACGAACGACGACTGGAGCTGGGGTCATCAAATCACCGACAACCTTCCCATTGGTTTTGCTGAGCAACTTTTGTACCTCATTAAAAGTCTGCAACCATCATTTATTATTCCATGTCAGAGAAGCACGTGGTTGGATCACATAAAAAAAGAATCTTCATATGCCACTTGGCAATTGGAATTTGGAAGCGCCCCATGCAACCGACAATTATGCCGCCGCTCTGCCCTGATGATATCCATCGAGAATATCCAGCTTGTACCACAGACGTGCATCATAAAGTATACCCAAACAAATTCTTTCCTGCCTCCAGCTACAAATTGCTAAAAACTTCTTATTTCTCTCTTAAATGATTGTCATTGGCTAGGACAGAAGTTCAAGAAGGATTCGGGATTATCCACAAAAGAAAGAGGGCATTGGCATTCGATTCCAGAGGGAGAAGTTGATTTGCTAAATCACTTGCAAAATGATTTTTTTGGTCTGACGCTAAAGTTTGACCCCAAGAAAATGCCATTGCATCAGAGATATTGTAAGCGAGGAGAACTCCTTAACATGACAAATTACTTGCAAATGTTTCATGAGAAAAAGAACTGCATTCAGATGAGTCAGCTCCTTACGATGATAAGATCATGTGCAATAAAACTCATCTACAAACCATCAAAGAAAATCGAACCATAAAGCCCAGCAATCTGAAACCATGTTGCTAAAACAAGAAGATTGAAGGCATTGGCGTGAAGGCTATCTCTAGTTCGTGTGAGCAATGTGGAAGAAGACATGCTGAGTCGGGGTGAAGAGAAGTGGAACGCAAACAGTAATACCCGACAGACAGAAAGAGGCAAGCAGATCCTCAGAAACAGAAAAATTGAGAAGTTGACACGATGATAGATTTGGATCCAAGATCAAGCAGAAAATGAAGAAAATAGAAATTCCAACGTAATAAATAGAAATTCGGGGAGCTTGTTGTGTAGCGTGGACAAGGATGCTACAAGAAAAGAGCACAAATACCCAAATTTAAGCAGAGGAAAAGATAAACAACACGAGAGATCAACACCATCAATTGTTTCCGCAAAGGATTCTTTTCAGGGAGACGTGCCTAAACAGAGTTTGGGTGACATGGTTCCTCTTCATGCAGTGGTTGATCTATCTGGATACATTAGGTCCAGGCAAAGAATAGAATTTCATGCAACAATATCAAACCAATCGCATGCCATTTGACAGTTGCTTACAAGTATAAGTCCCGCATAACAACATGGTTTCAAGTTTTCTTATTAGGACCACTGTTTTCTCAGTCCCATATTCAATATTCCAGCATATGTGAAGAGTCTCATCCTTTTCTATATTCAATTACTAAAGAAACAGAAAGTTTAGAAACTTGAAACCTGATGCTGCAAGAGGGCAATTCCTGTAAATTCTTGATTAACAAAGCATGAAACAATATCCCCAAAAAATTGCCAACCAAATGTAATGTATAGTTGTGCACCATAGAATCAAACAATTCAAACTTTTGCATTACCTTCCAAGTGCTATCAACTTCAGGGAACAGGTCATTATCTGTTTTGCTTTGACCTGTTTTAAACAATGAAACAATTTGCAAAACATTGAAGAAATTTTCAGCAAGTTCATAAAGACTCTGCCTAAACAGTTTTGAAGAAAGGTTGCAAGGTACTAGTAGAAAATACAAAAAACAAACAGGTTGTACGTCATCCCAAACCATTTGACTGACTTGAAATACCACATTCTTAATCTCGATTACACTCAGTAGAAAACACGAAAATTGAGAGGAACAACTTCAAGCATGTCCGCACCATCCCTTCAATATAGGGGATTTAGGTCCTACAGGAGTAGGGTGCCAAAAGGAGAACTAATTCTTAAGGAATCTCCTTGGAAAGTCATTTACTAGAAATTTAAAATGATGAGAACAAATAAAAACTTTTCTTCGACAAACTGGATTCAGCATAACAGTTGCTTATTCATGTCAAGTATCTAGTCTAAGCGAATTAGCAACACTACAGCATTTCAGCAGTCAATCAGAGAAATTTTGTTCTCTAAGGCCCAAAGTATGATAATTTCATGAGGCAACAAACTTCTAGAAAGATACATATAGAGTATGCCCTATGATCATCTAGAAAAAGTGTGTCAACAATGAAAAGAAAAAACACTAGTTTTTTTCTGAAATGTGATAATTTGATAAGTAGGTTAACATAATGATATGAAATTATCACCTGATACGGAGTCCAAGGCTAGCAGGTCATAATCCGACACAAGACCAACCTACAGTAGTAAAAGAACAACTTGAATCATTCCCCACTCTTCTACTTTGCTAATACAGCTCATTCAAAAGAAGCAAAGTACAGAAACGAAAATGAACACCCAGAAAATAAATCACTAGAAGCAAGAACATTGTCTTTCACTAACCAATTTCCAATCATCGTCGATGACGGGGAAACCCGTAATTCTGTATTCCACGAGAGTTTCCAACGCTGTTAACAGATAGGATCACATCATTTTGGGGGGAAAATAAAAGCCCTATGGTATAACTTGGAAGAGATAAGGGTAAACAAACACACACACATACAGACAGAGCAGGTACCTTCATCTACCGTGGTAGTTGGTTTTACCACGCGTAACTCATCTTTTTTGGTCATAAAATCACCCACCGTGTAAACTCCGCTCTTGGGCTGCAATTATGCAAAATTAATTGTTTTAAT